TTTAACATACAAATCACACTCAGTTGAGACCATTGTCGATTTTCTAACAAAGACCTACAGCAGTCAGACATAAGTTTTTATAGTAAAGAAACTTTTTTGATCATGCCAACAATGTATTTATCCGCAGGTCTCAGAGCCTCAGTATCTCATACTGACAAAAAAACATACCGGTCGTGATCAAGAAGTATATTGCCGATTGTTAATACTAGTCCATAAAAAGTTGCCAAATAATGAAAGATCATGATTTTGACTATAAAGAAGCAGCAAGAAAAAGCACAACCTTTTTTTAAAAGGCCAATTAAGAAAAAGTGGCTGCACGATGAACAAGTTTGAATATGGAAAGCAACAAATCTGTTACAGAGAGTTAAACCTTATACAGACATACAAAGGCAACATTATCTATCTCAACAAATGACCAAACCGATTAAGTTTTGTGTAGATCATAAAAAAAAAAATTCTTTTACGGCAATACATTAACTTTGGGATCCAAAACCCTGACTTCCTGTCAGACCGTTACACTATATTGTTACTAAATAGACGAAAAAACTGAAAGTATGTGAGTTGGCATTAGTTTACTTGAAAAGTTTTGTGGTGCAGTTCTCTATGATGCTCTATTCCTAATAACTTTTCAAGTGCATGGCACCACACAGAACTTATATATTCTATACTGTAAAAGCTTACGCTCTTCTTCCTGGCACCGTTTGTTCAAAATACAAAAAGACGACGACGTTCTTACATGAATGAAATGCACTGGGTAACTTTCCATCGTTCCATAGTTACATTTAAAATAATGAAAAAATACAGAATAATGAAATCAAAATAGAGTTGCCGGTCAGGTGGCAGAAGAAAACATATCTCTGCACCCTGTCCTACAATAATTATTTGTAACATTGAAAAAATTCTTTACAATACGATGTCGTTAAATTCGCTATTTTTTTTAAAAAGATTCTATAGGTTGCTAAGATTAATAACGTTTTCATTTCTTTAAAATTAGAAAAGAAATTGACCGTGACCATGCGTCAATAAAACAACAAAGAAAAAGTGAGCAAAATGTACAGACAGAGTTGAGAGAAATTCTTTCAAAAGCTCTGAAGAAATGAGACAGAAAAATTTAAAAATGGCAACAACAAAGCAGATTGACCACGTTACATCTTTCTAAAACCAACGTTACCGCAGGTAGCCATACAATCACTTAAAGTCTGGAAGTTGTTCAAGTTTCCTCCACACCCCGTATATTCAAACGGTACACACTGACCCTGCAAATTTTGGAAAATTAGTGCATAGTAAATTGGGTATCTTTAGAAACATTTAAAAAAACCTCAGTATCAGAATAGATTAGAAGAACTGCTAAATATAACAATAAAAATTAACTGTTTGTCGATTGAAGGCGTATCGGGTCTGTCTGCCTCCACAGGCACCTCTGTCTATGGAGAGAAGGCAAAGTTGCTCTGAAATCATTGATGTGGATGCTACAAATTCTGGTGTATTAAACAATCTACTTGTTATAATCAACATTCTTGTCACGGGGTATGCTCGGCGTTTGTTAATAAAAAAAGGTGGAAAGTAGAAACGAGGGAAAAAACAGCATATGGTGTAGGGAAGCAAAGACTGCAAAATCAAAAACTATGTGTACCACACACGGTTACAAACCCTGTACTTTTAAAATCAATGTCTACAACTATAACAGGTATGAGGAAAAGTGTCAGTATTGTTAAAGAGAGTTAAAGCCAAAGCCGGTGAACCGAAATCTATAAGCTAAGGATAAACAGTTATAAAGCATTCACATGCACGTTTCAATCGCACTTCTTTTACCAGATTCCCAGCATTATACGAGCTGTTTCAACGTAGCCAAAGCTGGCCTTCTAGGTCTACAAAAAAATAACTGTAGCCATCTAAAATGCCAGAAAAAACTCTGTAGTAACAATAGTTTTTGCTAATTGTGAGTTGTGATACAAAAATAAATAGTTTAAATCAAAACAATATAACATTAATTCAGTGCAAGCTCACTTACCAATTGGCAAAAACCTGAAATAGTTTTATGTCAATAACAACAACAATAACAACAAAGACTAAAAACAACAAGACGAGGTCTATAAGCGAAAACAGTAGATCAACAACAAGAACTGAAAAACAACTCAAAAAAGAAATTATTTTTTTTGAAAGAATATAATTAAACTGAATACTGTATAGCGACCAACAATCAAGATACACGCTTTAACTATGGGTAAACAGTAACAAACGAATGTTAAGAACCGAGGCTTTTTACAGACAATAAGTATGGGATTTCTGTCCCAAAAATTAATTAATTTTCTGAAAAAAAGTTAAAATTAACAACGTGCTAACTAGACATATTCCAGCAGAAATTTATAATAAAAAGTACGTCCAGTATAACTTAACTTACAGTAATTTCACGTGAAATAACATTAACATTCAAGTGGATAGCTGACCTTCTGTATAAGTAAAAAAGGAGAATAATTACTGCTTGATACCACCAAAAGTGAAAAAAATAAATGTGCTGAGGAATCTAAAGCTTAAGAAAACACATTGCTATTCCTGAGTTAACCAGATACAACAATTAATTTTGAAATTCCAGTCATCATACTATGAAAGATGAAGCATTGTCGGCTTTTTTTCTCGAGAACTTCCTTTGAAGAAGACTCGCGAAAAATTATGACGAACGTATGAAACAGATTACTGCACTAATAGTAACCCTTGTCACAACATATTGCGGTACAGGCTTGCAGCGTATCAAAATTATTAAGGTTTCCTACACAACCACCATAACTGTAATAAAAAATTTTACAGCAACGACTTGAACTCAGTAATCTTCATGCTGACCTACTAAAAATAATTCTTAAACTAAAAAAAAATGAGAAAACTTACGTAAATTTCTGGCATAAACCAGTCACCTTATTGTACCCATACTTAGTTAGAGATTCATTACATGGGCCTGGATCACGAGGAAGGGGACAAAAGACAGCTAAATTATATTCAATTTTTTACAAAACTCAAAGTTCGTACTAAAAACTTTACCAGACAAATCTAGATCCATTTCAATCAAAAAATAAGACCATTTCAGGTGATAAACCAATAACGTCATAAACTAACATGGATCAGGGCAGCAAACTGACTTTGATTCTCTTTTTGTCACATGGCATATAAATCCCTTTGGACAAGCGGTGTCTATTCCGCATGAAGAAATTTCGCTTTGAACGATCAATGGCTTGCCGTGTGGGCAATATCCACGATAACCTAGAATATCTGGACACTATTACCTAACAAAGATAATTTAATGGTTTATAAGTAACGAAATGTCAAAAGTACATACCGGGACAGGAAACTTGGCACTCCTCTTTCGTTAAAAAATTATTTTCATTGCCTGCCAGTCCGCTGTAATTAAATGCAACACATTCATCAGCCACACTATCATAGTACCATCGTGACAGTTCCGCATTACCGGTACCAACCATCAGCTGCTGATCACACACGTTGCCTGTTGTCAGGCTTGAGTGTAGAAGTCAAAGATGATTTTTGGGTACGGATTAATATAATCAAGTACCCACAAAATAACTAGTAAAAACAAGCAAATTTCATACCTTTTCGTTCACAGCAAACACGAGAACGTGAGTTTTCACCAATGTGACAGTAATGAGTATGAGGGCATGAACGGAGACTACACTGTACAATCTTTCCATTAATTCGTAACGGTTCGTCGCCGCCAAAGCATGGGTTCCTCACTGACAGTAATATTTTTTTAAAATTTTCTTACTTTTCGTTCTTATAGCACTCACCTAGAACTCTAAAAGTTCTTGAATTTGTACCTGGCTTGCAACTCTCTTCACAAATTTGCTGCGTGAGAAAATTATTTTCGTTTCCTTTGAGCCCTCTGTAAGAAAATGGATAACATTCGCCTTCTTTGGGATTGTAATACCATCTTGGAAGAGCTTGAATTCCTGCACCTTCACTAAGGTAAACAGTGCATGGGTCTTCTATAATACAACTCGCGATACAGGATTAAAAAAAATTTGCAAAAAAAAAAATTAAAACCCGTAAGACTACACCGTTCTTTATGGCAGGAAAGAATATTTAATGCTTTCGCAATTACCTGCCATTTTTGGACAGCAGTAGCTATTTGAATTTATAGCTGTATCGCCTGCTAAGCAAAAGTACCCCGTTTCGCACGAATCACTCTGTAAGGGATTACATTCTTGAGGACGCCCATTCTCATCCTTAGCTACCTCTCCCAAGCATGGATCTTCGAAAACTGAAAAACCCCACCCGCTCTGATCACAACACTGCAAACCAGATTTAAAAGCTCTATGCTTCAAAGATCAGAAAGCACAATTAGAACTGTGGTGAAAAACAGGTTGTAGCCTTGAAAATGCAAAGTAAGAAGATTGGAATTGAAGAAGAAAGCGAATAAAGCCTCGTGCAAATCAATTCCTAAGAAGCATGCACAGATTACTAATAGAGAAAGGAAGAGGAAGTGAGTGAAAAGCTGAATATCGCCGATACACACATTCCCATCGACATCTGCTAAACTCGGTTCTTTTTCGTAATTGATTTAAAAAATTATAATTATTCTTCTTTATTACATTGGAAATTTTAATGAAAAAATTTCGGCTTCAACTGTAACAAAATAGTTTAGGAGTTTTTTACGTATCTACTTTAAACACTGTTCGACATGATAATCAATTCCGTATCAACTTGATCCTTTCTAATTAATCAGGTTTCTTAACTCAGTACCTGGACAAGTCCTAGAGCATTCTAGTTCAGATTCAAAATTGTTTTGATTTCCTCGCTTGCCATTGTATGTGAAAGGCTGACATGAGCGATCATCCGGGTTATAATACCAACGAGCTAACCCTGCATTACCAGTACCAGGAGATAATGGAACTGAGCAGGGATTAGTGGCTGAAATAAAAAGTGGCGTCAACAGATAGAGCGAAAATTATTGAAGAAGTAGTAGTCGCATTACCTCCAGGGCAGCAAACAGTTGTTTCCGGAGTTGCACCAACATGACACCAAAAGTTGACTGGACAAGTGTCTTTATTGGTGGAGGAACAAAACAGCACTTGTCCAGCTGCTGTAGTAGCTGGCTGGCCGGTGCATGGATTTTCCAAGGGTTGGCATTGAAGTTGGCAAGCTCTCTAAATTGGCCGTAAATTCTATAATTACTATTATGCAACTAATAAGTTGAGTGGTTGAACAGCAAATGTTCAACACTAAATTTTAGATATTTAAAATCCAAAAAAAAAAACTTCTGCTGTTTCCGTATGCTTTCCATAATACACGCTTTATTCGTGTACTAAAAGAAATGTTTTCTAAGAAAGTTTAACAAAAAACATTTGCAATATAATTTTAAAAAAAGGTTTTAAAAAACTGCATTTTCAGTAACTTGGGACAAGGCTTATGAAAAGCTCAGACAGGTAACTTTAAAAAATAAACACAATATAAGTAAAAATTTCAACTAAAAGTTAACCAATGTCAGGAAATTGTTCTGGTTTCCTTTCAAACCTCTGTACGTGAACGGTCTGCAAGTCCTAGTCACGGAATCAAAATAGTATCGTTCTAAATTGGCGTTCCCTTCCCCAGTAGACATCGGCAAATTACAAGGATTTAAGCTGGCTAAAACTGATCGGCAATAAAGTCAGTTCCATAAAAGTTATGCAAGGTTCTTTAAATGTTTAATTTAACATTCTAAGTAGCTAACAGACATTAAGATGTAGAAATAACAAGTGTTGAGAAGAATCTCATTTTAATGTAGAAGTAATTTCAGATAATACTGCATTTATAAGAGAGATATATCTTACCTCCAGGACAACAAACAGTCGTCGTTTGATCCGCTCCGGTATGACACCAGTAACCACTTGGACAAGTGTTCACTTGCGATGTTGCACTGCACGTCTGTGGCCTGCCATCAACGCCAGTAAATGGTCTCCCTGAAGTATTACAAACTGATTCTTCTACGATATTTTCATGTAACGTACTTCAGTAGAGCACCACGTAGACTTTTATTAGTTGTAACCTTCTGGGCAAGGATTGGGACCACAGCTTGCTTCACACTGTTCGCGAGTCAAGAAGTTGTTCGCATTTCCCCTCATTCCTGTGTAAGTAAATGGTTGACAAGTTCCTGTTTGCGTATTGAAGTACCAGCGATCGAGGAAGAGAGTGCCACTTCCGCGAGACTGTGGAAGAGTACAAGGATCACCCTCTGAAATTACAATTTCTCACCCGATAAGCAGTTAAAGTTGCGTATAAAACCAAAAAGTCATAGTAGTAATGACAAAGCTTTAAAAAAATCATTAGAAAACTAGCAAACTTGCAAACCTAAAGGACAGCAAATTGTCGTTTGCGGTGTACCACCAACATGACAGTACATTCCCTGTCCGCAAATACTGGAAGATGGTGAGCAGAGCTGCGGCGGCAAAGTTATAGGCAGGCTGCATGGATTCACAAAAACTAAATGTTACGACTATTTATGTTTTTTTCTTGAAACTGCTGGCATTAAGGGACAGTATCATTCCGGACATAAGGTACAGCGATAGTAGAAAGAAGTTAATTAAACCAAAAGTCTACTTCAGAAACTGAGACATTCGACAAAGTTCTCAGTTTAGACTAAATTAATCGTTCCAAAGGTACAGCATTCAAACAACTATTCTATGCGGCTATCCCTGTCCTGATCTTAATTTCTGGCATATCTAACGTTAAATAGGTTGAAAGCTCTTCCAAGCGGCTAATCATTCTCATACGATTTCCTAACAGCAAGAAATGCTAGAGACTTAAGCTGTTAAGCCACGTCAAAATTAGGAGCGACTTTTATTATTTTGCTAGGAGCGTAGTGCTAGATGAATCGGGTTAAACAATATTCGAAGCAAGAATTTGACGTGTATCAAAATGAACTGTCAATCTAGCCCAGTTGCCCTCAGCTGATTGATATTGCCTTCATAAATGTGAAAATTTTGCATAGAGAAATTATTTTTCAAGACTGTTTCAGAACTTACAGTTTGAGGCATACAAATCAATCTTGAAAACCGCCTAAAACTCAACCATCTTTAAGAGATGGTCGATACGTAGACAGCGACAGCAAACGTACCCGGTAAACAAAAGGTATTTTCACTTATTGTAAGAAATGGTAATCAAGCGTTTAGTCGCTGAACACAAAGAAGTCTTTCACTTTTCTGATGTCGTTACTTTGCTCTTCGGTCCTTCAGAAAACTTTAACTCTGTACCTGATCTTTACGTGTACAAATCATCTACTTTTTTCTTTTCTGAAGAGTATTTTTTTCATTTTTGACCTTCAGAACAGTGCACTGTCTTAATTCGACAATTCATTCGTTCTTGCTTGTAAAATAAAGATGATTCCGTAATTAAAGGACTTATCAATTGTTGTTTTCAGTAGTTGAGCGAAGTTCAAATTTCAAGGAATTAGCGCGCTATTTTTTTTAAATTGGAAGTATGCAAACACTGTCCGTCCTTTAGCTTGTTGGCAAGTGACAAAACGTTTAGCCTTTTCAGATGATTGGTGATTTAACACCTAACTTAGAGGCAGCGTTTTAAATTAAAAGCTTTTACTCGAGTAAAAATCTTTAATTTAGTTCACGTTGTTCCTATATGATTTTAAGAATAAATAATTACGTCTTCCGTTATGACCGGATACTAATGGATCGTACTAAAAACTTAGTACGAGACAGCGCAGTGCCAACCAAGAAAAGTATACGATGATTAAAGTATAAAGAACTAAGTGGAAAGAATAGTGCTACGGAAAAGTGTTAGGATCTTGAAGGTGAGGTAAAAAGGTTTTCAAAAAAGACAGATGCATGCCACGTTTTTTTGATTTTACGGCTAACCCTCGCAAGTCGCAGCGCAGTCAGCTTCTGTCAAAAAGTTATTCTGGTTCCCTTGTCGACCGTCGTACTGGAACGGTTTACAAGTCATTGATTCTCTGTCATAGTACCACCGGGTTGATGGTGGCGCTGCAGCTCCAGCAACACCCGACTCAAAAGGTAACCCTTCACAAGCTGCAGTTTGCGTCGGTTCACCGGGACAACACATGTATTCATCTGGGACTAGTCCAAGATGGCACCAGTAGCCGGCCTCACAACTGTCCGTGCCAAATGTGCAAGGTTTGGGTCTGTTATTCGATTCAAGCAAAGGTTCACCAACAGGGCATACATTGGTGTAAACTGTAACGTTGAAACAAAAAAAAAAATTACAGCTGAAAGGTGGTTTGTACACAAACAAACAAACGATATTCAATTTTTAGAAAAATTTTCAATACCTTTTGTGCAAAATACTGCGGGTAAATTCCTTTTAGGCTCACAGCAATATAAATCAGTGAAAAGATATGATAAGGGTAAGGTAAAGTAGTTTTGTTTATTGCTTCATAATTTACTTGTTTATTTTTTTTCTGTATGGTGCAAAAATAGATAAATTATCTATATTTCTAATTTAAGAACATAAACAGTCAGACAATTAAGTAGTTTTTTCAGTGCTAACTAAACAGAGCACTATCGTTAGTACGACTCATTGTTTTATGCTCGTTAGTTGCAAATTTGACGAGTATAACTTTGGTGTGCTTTGATAAACATAATTGCTGAATGGTCTCACCGAATCAGATGTAAGCACTTAGTGCCGTGGGAAAATAACAGTGGGATATTGATTTTCAGAATAAATACCTGCACAAGTTTGTTGGCACTGCAGTTCTGACAGGAAGTTATTTTGATTACCGTAGTGTCCTCTGTAAACAAATGGTACACATTTTCTATTTATTGAATCATAGTACCACCGTTGCAGATTTGCATCTCCAGATCCCATTGACATTGGTTGTTGACAGATTGCTTCTCCAGTTACTAGAAGAAAAAATTTTTGTGGTTTCATAAACAAACAAATAAAAGGAAGCTGAAAACTATCTTTAAAAAAATTTAACTTTTTGATTAAGTATTAGAAGATTGAAAATATTATTTACCACGTCCTGGACAACAAACAGTTGTTACAGATGTTGCACCAATATGACACCAATAATTTGATGCACAAGTGTCAACAGTAGGACTACAACCTATAGGACGACCATCGGACCCAAGTTGAGGATTACCAAGTGCACAAGGATTATCAATTTCTAAACTTGCTCAAGCTAATTAAGCAAACTTGAACAAAAAAGTTATAGAAATATTAAGTGACAAAACCTAAATTTTTTTTTCTTTCAAAAAATTATACAAAAAGTTTTTAGCTTTTATTGAGACGAATTTAATTATAATTCTACCGTAGCATGTCCGCTCACAATCTTGTTTTGACAAAAAATTATTCTGTGTTCCTTTCATACCGCAGTAGATGAAAGCAATACATTGTTGACTGGCCATATTCCAGTACCACCGTTGCAGCTGTGCATTACCCTGTCCTCTGCTCATCGCTTGACCGCATGGGTCTCCACCTATAGATTTAAAAATAACTCTTATTGAAAAGAGGAGATTTTTTTTCAAGCAAATTAGAAAAAAAAAAGAAAAATAAATAAAGTTTTATAAATTGTCCGCCGAAACCTCAAGCTGAAACCAACAAAGTAATCACCGCAAAAAACTTCTATAAGCTTTGCACGGAAGTGATAAAATAAGAATTTCTTTAATAGTCTGAGGTTAGATAAAATTTATAAATTTGTTGAACAAATATTTCCAATAATTATTTAAGCTACATACTCTATGGCAAGCGCCACAGTTCTTCTAGTATATTCACTATATAACAATAGCAAATTTTCTTAACAAAAAAAAAAGCTGATAGCCTGTTTACTATTAGTGCAGAGTCGAACTTCAGCACACTATTTTTAAGTCAATAGTAGTGACCAAAAAAAAAAAGTGACAGCAATAAAGTCTAACAATCTACTGCTTGTTGTTAGTTTCAAAACTCAATAATTTAGCTATAGCAGATAGTGCATGCAAAAAAAAAAAAAAAAAAGCCAACACTAAAGCTTCCATTAGTATTTATTGAACTAGTGTAGAGTGATTTCACTGCAACATCGACTTACCTTATCCGAGCCAAGCAGTCTGAACAAGAAGCTCTACTAGCTACCATCTCAAAATAAATAAAACAAAATTAATTTTATCAAAATATCTTTTCAACTGTGGCAAAAATTCAGTGTTATGTAACCAAATAAAAAGAAGGTATTTAGTCTTAAAAATACCTTGTGCAGGACAACAGTAATATTGATCAGCAACACCGATATGACAGTAGTAGTTCGAAGGACATGGATTTTGAGGATTGCATATTTGTGGTTTCTTATCAACCATGAATGCTTCTCCAACTCTGCATGGATTTTCAAAAACTGAAACAACAAGCAAATAAAATTTTCGGAATCAGTAAGAATGAAAAAAAGAAATCTGGGTACAAAAATCAACAAAAAGTAAAAATACTACAGAATTTTCTAAATAACCTGGGCATTTCTTTTCGCATGCCTCTTTAGTCAAGAAATTGTTTTGGTTCCCTTTTAACCCACGATATTCGAACGATAAACATTTTCTTTCCGCTCCATCAAAAGACCACCTTACCAAGTTTAAGTCACCGCTGCCAGAATTTCTTGGAGGATACGAGCAAGGATCACCAGCTAAAAAAAAAGTTTAACTAATGTGTAGAATTTGGTTTTGAGAAATCAGTGTCTACGAGCATCAGTTAGACTTTTATGAAGCAAATTTTTGCTACTTGAGAATCAAAACATCAAAATTCATTAAGTAGTGATTTTGAAGATGATTTTATAATCAAGTGGTTTTAACATTACCCTAAACCTATCCAGCACTACATACCTAACGCCTTTTGAGCTCAAGTACTGAAGTTTTCTTTTGCAAATCTAATAAAGTTAATTCTAATTTTACATCTCAGCTTTCAATTGAAATTTTCTTCTAATTACAGTTTTAAGTTGCGCTGAATTAAAATGCTTTCACTACCTTCAGCGTAGTCAAAGTTCGTTTTTTTGCAAAATCTATGAGATAAAAATATATAGTGATAGAAAATTGTGATGCCCTTTTCTGAAGTAAAAACTATGTTCTATCTAAAATGACAGTGTAAAAATTTAATACCATGTGGACAGCATACTGAAGTGTCTGCTGTTGCTCCAATATGACACCAGTAATTTGCTGGACAGCTTTGATTTTCTGCTGAGCAGGGGATATGCTGTTGTATAGAATTTGACATACCAGCATACGACGTTGGACAAGGATCAATAAATACAGGGCACTTCATTTCGCAGTCATATTGAGATAAAAAGTTGTTCTGTAATTAACGAAGACTAAAAGTGTTAATAAATAAATAGCCGTAGAATCTCCTTTAGCACTAATTTCTGCTCTTATTCTAAACATCTGTTTTTGACTTGCTAATTTTTCTGCAAATTTAGATTATTTTAGACCACATTTAGTAAAACTGAGAAAAACCTAATAATTTGAACTTTTGTAGTTTAATGGCCTAACAAAGTATAAAGTTAATTACATACCGCATTTCCTTTAAGACCCCTGAAGCTGAACTGGAAACACTGCTTTTTATTCTGATCGAAATAAAATCGTGGTTGAGAATATTCTCCTTCTCCTACAGCTAGAGGTAACTGACAAGGATCTTTTCTTCCTGGGCAACATACTGTTGTAGCAGCATCAACTCCTGCAATATTAAGCTGATCTTCATTACTTTATTTCAGAGATTGAAATACCTCCTTTGTAATTAACGCAATGTAGAGAATTTTTATTAACACTGTCTAGAATTCTTCTTTTAAAGAAAAGTTTAGATCAGGTTTAAATAATGACCAGGATAACACCAATGCGTTGGTGGACAAGTATCGGCAATCGACGGACTGCACTGCTTCGGTCGTCCGTTAGGTAACAGAATAGGATCTTCTCCGACACAGGGGTTTATCCAAACTGGGCAGGTGTTTTCGCAGTGGTCACGTAGCAAGAAATTATTTTCGTTTCCACCAAGACCTAAAGTTATTACAAACTACGGAAGAATTACAAAATTTGTTGAATTCCTGCTTCGCAGCTTTACCTTTGTAAACGAATGGAAGACATTGCCGAGTTTTGGCATCGTAAAACCATCTATTAATTTTTTGATCTCCTTGTCCAATATTCACCGGTATTGTACAAGGATCGCCCGAAGTTGGGCAGCATACGGTTGTCGCATCGTCGAAGCCAATGTGGCAGAAATAATTAGGGGGACATGGAGCTTTTTGGTAACATCGTTGAGGTCTCTTATCACTGCCAAGTAGTGGATCACCACTGCTGCATGGGTTAACCCATACAGGGCACTGGGACTATAAAACATAAAAAACGTTAGAGTGAAAAATAAATAATAGTGGTGCTTTTCATATGTAGACTTATTAATTCAATGTTAATTTTTTAAAACTATCACTGTTGCATAAAGTCCAAATAGCATTACCTCACAAGCTTCCTTGCTGAGAAAATTATTTGTGTTTCCTCTCAATCCCAAATAATTAAAGGTTAAACACTGTCGCTTAGACGCATCGTAATAGTATCTTGTGAGAGATGATTTACCTTGACCTTTATTTAATGGTTCATTACATGGATTAATTCCTGCAATTGAGAATTAGCAATAAATAATAATTAGATCACTGCAAAATGTAAGACGAGACTATGATTTATCAAAGGCTAAAACTGTGTTCTCAAAATTATTAGGCTAAGCCACACAGAAAAAAACACTCATTAGCAGTTAGGTGACTCACACAAGCACATGCAGACTTTCAAGCTTTGTTTGCTCTTTTTTGATCTTAAAAAACAGAAGCTTTCTTAGCTGCAAGTATACATCAATTGTATTCATACGCATAAAATTGACTGTGACTTTAAAATAAGCTAAAATACACTAAATCATCAATGTCGTACGATAAGAAAAAAAATCGGTTGACATAGACGATTTTTTAACCCATTATTTAAAAATAAAGATGACTCTTTCTCAGTGATAAGACCTTTTATATATAAAAGCTGTATCAATAGATTACATTTCAACTTTAGATTTAGCTGATTACGAAAACAAAAACTATTGTCACAAAAAAAAAAAATTTTTTTTTGGGTTTTTTATGTAGAATAGTCGCTTGCAAAAAAAGATATGTATATATATATTATATTCACGGCAGAAAATTTTTTTTTGCAAAAACTGCATGCAAAGATGCAGAAAGCTAAATTCACACGTGAATTTGCAACTGAAATTTCGACGGATTCAAGAAATACTGTTCAGTTGAACTTTTTCTTTTCTTCTCCTACCCACTACCACTTCGATTTACAGTTGCCTTCTCGTAGCGAACTAACCAATCGCTTGACAGCAAACACTAGATTGAGAATCAACACCAATATGGCAGTAATATCCTGCTGGACAAACTGCTTGATTCAGAGCCGAGCATTGTACATTAACCCCTTGACTTCGATAAGGAGTTCCACGAGCACACGGATTTACTGCAAATATTGAATTGCCTTTATCAAAATTACAAATAAAAAAATTTTTTTTGATTTTAATTTCAAGCTTGTAAACTAAATAGTATAAAGTCAGGTTAGAAAATGAAAAAAAATTTGCTAGTTTTGTAGACATAATCAGCTTTGAAAAAGAATGGAAAGAAAAAAAATGACACTGCTTACCAAAGCAAGCATTTTCACACTCTTGTTGACTCAAGAAGTTATTTTCATTGCCTTGAAGTCCTTTATAGACGTAAACCTGGCACTGTTGGGTTAGCGGATTGAAGTACCATCGTTGCAGATTGGCATTACCTATTCCGGCGTTCAACGGTTGACTACACCGGTCACCACTTGCTTCAAATTTTTACAACCACATTTATTCTCTTTTCTCACAGTGTTAACAAAAATTAGAAAGACAAAAAAAAAAAAAAAAAAAAAAAAAAAAAA